CAGTCTGCCGACGCAACACAAAAAGATTGACAAACTTGATTGCTCGGTACTTTATCGCATTAAATGCAGCAACTGTGAGCAGAAGTATATAGGTGAAACAGAAGGAAAAATCGGCCTACGAATCAAGGAATATCAAAGAATTTACAGGAACATGGATACGAAAAAACCCGAAATAGCGGAACACATTGCGCGAACAGAGCAATAAATCGACTGGAAGTCGACCGAAAGGTTGGCTGCATGTGGTGTAGATACAAGAAAACACAAGATCCGAGAGGCCATCGAAATACTGACCGAGAGAGATCAAATAAACAGGAAACTTGAAGGCAGGATTAGCGAAAACTTGGTATATTGCCTAAACAAAGTCGGAGAAGACCAGGCAACAGTAAGATCAGCAAAAAGAAGACGACTGAATCAAGGTAATATTCTTAATTTTAGGAAGAGATCGCAGGGGGATGATAAGGCAAGAATCAGAACAAAGAGGAAACGTCTTCAGTTAGCCTAGTCAAAACAAGTAGAACCACAACATTTGTGGGTTGGCACACAAGAGACTAGGACGTAGGAAGCGATGGACATGGTATCACAGATATAAATAGGAAAGACGCGGTGGAGACTAAAGCTATTTGGCTAACAATAATCGTGTTTGATCATAAACGTGATCCTTGTATCACGACTATTGCTAGCCAACTAGCTCTAGCTTCCATGGTTTCTACCCTCTTTCTATCTTTAATCCTATACCCTAGTCTTTTGTGTGCCAACCCACAAACGTTGTGGTTCAACATTTAGTCTAATCAAAACAAGCTGTACCACAACATTTGTGGGTTGGCACACAAAAGACTTGGGCATGGGAAGTCATAGACTTTGTATTAGAGATAGAAACAGGATAGATGCGGCGGTAATGAGAGCTAGTGGGCTGACGGTAGTTTGTCTAAGAGACGTGGTCCATGTGGCAAAGGCACGAGACTTACTCTGAGGCTTTAGCCTCTAATCAATCACCCAGGTGAAGGGGATAGACGAATTACGCCCCGAGTAGCACAGATGGGGGGGGGGCAGAGGTCGAGTGAAATACATGTACCAGGGAGATAGCAGACGGATTCTACGGGGCAAGAGGGAGATTTTGTTGGGACCTAGGGAAGGACTACGTAACAATATGACAGACTCTGGTCAGCATTCCCAGCACAAGGGTGAAGGGGATGAAAACGACAGTGTGGAGTATGAAGGGTTTTCATGAATGCCGCTCGAAGGAGCACACCACACTACATTAAAAATAAGCACGGTAATAAACGGTGACAGGGAAGGCGTGATAGGAGGATATAGGAAATGTGAATAGCCCAGAGCAGGAGAGATAGCACAACTGTTTAGCACACGTTTGGTCAAAGAATGGGCTTCACTTGTCTCTTTGACGAGTTATAATATGGTGCCACGAATGGCAAGATTCACTGACGATGCCGGCCTAACGTCTGGAAATGTACCACGTCCATGGTCCGACTTTGGAAATGATCATGCATACAATGGACTCCAGACTAGGTGCGTTTCTTTAAGTCTTCCTATCAATATGACCAAGTTGCGAAAACAAGGTCAAACAACTTCTATAAATAAAGCTTAATGTGGTAAACAAGCTATGAATTATTTTAAGCCTACAAGTAAAGAAAGAAACTGCTTTATTGTAGACTTTAATTTCGTATGAAAATGCATGATGAAGAGATTCGTAGGTCGATCTCACCGTAAGGCAACTGATTCGCGTTTGGCTTTAATACTACATTCAGGTTGACTCAGTGGACTAGACATCCTCCTTCGCGCCCATATCTAATTTTTTTTCGTTCTGAGTATGTGCACCATGTAGAACAGAGATGGTCATTCTCGTTGGCTTAGTGTTAATGTGAGACTTGTTCGAGAATTATTTCCAGCTCTGAGGCTACCCATCATATGATAAACGAAAGCTTAACCTGTTTCGGTTTGAAATGAGGGACGTCTAGTTCACCTGAACATCGTATTAAAGCCAAACTGCTGGGACACACCGAAAATCAGCCGTCGTCTTCTGGTGAGATCAACCAACGAATATCTTCACCATACAACTTCGTACGAAATGAAAGTCTACACAAGAATGCTATCTCAAGAGATCAATCGAAATCCGCTTTCTCTTCGTAAACAAAAGCAAGCTTTGACAAGTAAAACATAGAAGAAATAGAGATCGACTTACTGTGATACTTGATTATTTATTTGAATGAAGGCCGCACTTAGAAAAGCTTTCGTTCAGCTTAATAACAACATCAAAACATTAATTTAGATTACATGTTCGGTTACAGTACAAGGATTACAAAAATAGGAATCTTGTTATAGCATGTTATTTGCCCCACATGGCTTGAATAAATATAAGTCCACATCCAAATTGGCAAAGCTTGTTACTCGTAATTAGGAAGCTATCATAGGATATTTAAGATAGTTGCTGTAATTTAATAGCGGAAGATAAATACTTCACAGAACTTTAAAGCGATTT